AACATCCCATATCTCCTTGGCTGTCTTTGTCCACAAGTAATTTCGGCTGATATGTGGCTGCATAGAATTACACAGCCATGCCATAACCAAATAGTTCTCTTGAACCCACTTGGTGTACATTGGGTTCTCTTTGGAAGGTTCTTTCACATCTCCCAAGAGGTAACCCAGTTTTCCCTTTCCCCCAATAGCCATCATGGCTGATTGGGCCCTTTCCAAGTAATTTGACCCATCAAATCTCACAGTTGTAATCTGAAACTGGGTTTCAGATATACTACCATAACTGTTGTTCCCAAAACTACTTTCTCCCTGATTTTTAAACTCCATCTTTGGTCAAGAATYAGTAGCTACAAACTGTTAGAGTCACTACACCAAAAAACAGCACTTGGACAGTCGATCACAATCCGAAAACAATATAGAATCAATGCAGGTCTGATCTGAAGCCAATCTGTAATCACGGTATATGCATGAACTAGTGCAGGTCTGATCTGAAACCAATCGACAATCACAGTATGCAAGAAACCAGTACAAATCTGATCTGAAATCAATCGGCAATCACAGTACCAAGTAGTCCGTACAAGTTGTTTTCCCTAGAAGAGCTTGAAGCCAAAAATAGGTCTAAAACCAGCTTAGAGAGCAATCTGAGATGCTGGAGCAGAATTAGGGTTTTAATCGTAGGTCTGAAATAAGTGCTCAGCCGCACTTTCCAAGCAGTCCGTATAGTTAGAACCTGTCGTAGGGTTAATGTGAAACCCTAAAACTGATCACCTCTGAGAGAAAACCCTAAAACAATCACTTTCCAAGAAGATAAAGAGGGTTTGGCCCAACAGTCAAACCCTAGATTAGAGAGAAAAACCCTAAACCAGTTCGGCTTCTCCTTCTAGATAGGTCCAACCTATCTCGACTGGTAGAAGTCTCTGGAAAGTAAATAAAACTTACTCAAAGAATGCTGTTCTCTGCCTTCCAGGGTTGCCTGAACCCTAGCCTTCGTTGCTTCTTCCTGATTACCAACACTCTGCAAGCCGTGGAAAGTCCTCAACAGCTGCGAAACTCTCCTGGTAATCTCCAAGAATCAGCCGACAAATACTGCTTCATAAGCTTCCAGCCCTAGCTGGTTCTCTTGTGGTCGGCTGGACTMGACACACATGAGAAGCCCTAGATAGGCTCTGATACCAAGTAGAAGAATAGTGAGAGGAAGGAGAAAAGAGAGAAGAGGAACAGGAGAACACAAAGGTTTGAAAGAAGGGACAGATTCTAACACMTCTGCCRCCGCYACTCTCTTAGTATTTATAGGTTATGTTCAGTACATAGAGAAAAGGACAGATCTGCCCTTAGTACTTACATGACAAATAAAATAAATAACCGAAATTAATAACAACTGAAATAACAAACTGGCCCCAACTGACACTACCATGACTGAAACAAATAATTACACATACTGTCCTACAAACACAGTGGGGACCACAGCTGTGGGGCCCACATCAATGTTCTCTACACATAGGATTCACTAACCAACCCACTGTTTTGTAGTTTTCATGCATCCACCTTTCATAGGTAGGATCATGGTAATATAACCCCATTTTCCTCTACTACACACGTATCTTAATAGATTGAGACCAAGCTAAATAATTGGTCCCATTTAGTTTCACAGTAGTCACAGCTCCAACAAGATTCTCCACCGACACCCCATGTCCAAACCCGGAATCTGTGGAATATTTGGTCTCTCTAGTTTGCTCCATTGAGTAAATGAATGCAAACGAAAATAAAATAGGGATTTACTAAGCTAGATTTACTGTTCTAAGCAAAGAACAACATTTGAACCTCCCAAAATTAGGGTTTAACAGGGTCTTACGGGATGGAGAGAAAATTCAATAGCCCCTTCCAGAGGTTCCAGAATTCAATCCAACCAAAACTACCCCTAATAGAAATCAAAAGGCTTACCTCTGATCCCCAAGTGCCTGGTTCAAACTTTCTCTACAACTTATAACAAGGTTTCTCCAATTTTCTAGGGTTTTTCGGAAAAATCTCCAAGAACCTGCTCTGGGCTTCAACTCAATACTCTCCAAAAACCTTCCTAACTGGGCTGCATAAGTAGCTGATTGATCAACCGATCAGTTCTCCATACACACTATGTATGAGCAAAGAAAGGAGAAAAAAGTCAAAAGTGAGAACTTGCTCTGATATCAAGTTGAAAATTACACCTACAATAATTTAGATAATGCAATAAAAGAAGAAAAGAGAGAAAGAGAAAGAAGAAGAAAGAAGTTTCAGCAATATGTTCTAGAAGAAGGAAAAAAAGGAAGAGAGAAAAGAAGAATTCGAACCTCTTTCTCTAGCCCCTTTCATTACTTTTATTAATAATTCTAAGTCTGAGTACAATTATTTGGATGCCCTTAATGGGGCTGCTAGCACTTAAGAAATAATTGAAGAAAATAAAAGAAGGCCCATAACTACTAAACAGAACTTTTAAATACTACTTAAAAGAAATAAAGAACACTAAGGCTCATTCGGCCCATTCTCACTACATCCAACAAAGTAGGAATAAATTTAATATTGTTTCTTTTAGTGAGTATTCTTGCAAACTGGATTTGCTCCCACAACCTGCTTCGAAAACCAGAGTTTAAATCTTCCACAAGCTTCTCCAACTTGTCTGAATGCTTGTGTGTTCCATGTGCGCAACAACAACCCAAAAACATCAATCCCCACAAAGGTTTCTCTCTTTGTAACTTATCTGACTTCCGACATCCATTTGTCCAGCGTCAGCTCTGGGTTTCGAAAAGAAAACCTTTCTTCTTCCTTTCCAAAACTCTCCTTATCAGTGTTTTCTTCTGAAACTGAATAGGAATAGGCATGCAACTAATTTCCTCACTTGAGAGAACACCATATTATGCCATTCGAACCTTGCCCATTTTAAAACATCTTAAATCTCATGGAGATAGAAGGATTTACAGGCTGGATTTTGGATTTAAAAAAACACTTTACTTGGGTGAGAAGGACTGCAAATGTGATGGCCAGAGTTTGGATTGGCTCTCCACAGAGCACACCCCACAGCACATCCCAACTGTGGGGCGTGTGGGAGCCAATGTGATCATGGATGGCAGATACTCTAGCCAAACAGTGGGTTTATAGATGACAACTGTTTTGGAGCTTCATACGGAAGTATTGCTTCTGCAGGTTATGCTGCCAACAGTTTTTAATCATTCTCATGAAAATATCTGGAAAATACAAATGTTGTTCTCTATTCCTGTTTTTGTTTTCCATTTGTTCCAACTGGATCCATATTTTCTTTTTTGTATTCTAGATTGGTCTATATGTTTTCTATTTGCCTCTTTAAGGCTTTACTAATAATTTGCAACCTTTAATTATCTAGGTTGAGATCTGGAAATGTCATTTTCAATTATAGGTACTACAACAACATGTTACAAAAGACAGAAGGTATGTAAGCTTTTCTTTTGAGAGTGGATACCAGTATGAGTTCACAAAACGCGAGAGTACATTAGAGGATATGCTCTGATGCACAAGCTGTGGGCAACTTGTTCTAATTTAACCTTGTTATATACTTATTTGAGATTAAGGACTCATTGGTCCTTGAATACTCACTAGATATCAATTTGTGATAATTGTAATCGTGATTCTCACATCAAGAAATCAGAATTATATTTCTCATCATTCAATTTTGGTCCTTATTCCCTTATCTTCCTTTCAGATATTAAAATAAAAATTGTATTAAAAATGAAGGAAAATAAGTAGGATTTATCAGTCATAGCCTGGCCCTGGTTCACATCAGGCCTGGATATTTATTGGCTCTTTCTGGGCCCAATACTCGAGACTTGGTGTGTGTGTGTGTGGCTCCATTGCACTCCAAATGGAGCCACAAGCTGTGGCTCAAGCCAAGATAACACCCTAGTCAATGATAAGACACCTACAGAATCCACCAATATATTGTGTCCCAATGAAGCCCATTATTGTTTAATCTTTCTCTTTTCCCCTGTTTTCTGTAAATTTCTGATCTACTGACTGAAATACTTTTATACTTTTTGTCAGTTACAGAAGACTTCTCTTGTCCATTTTGCTTGGTGCAGTGTGCAAGCTTTAAGGTGGTGTTTACTTTTGACATCTATGCCTATTTTTTGGTTTTATTTTCTAAATACTGATAGTCAGGCTTGTTTATGTTTCACAAGCATTGCCACTTGAAAATTTCATTTTGCTTTGTAGGGTCTTAGATATCACCTGTGCTCATCACATGACCTGTTCAACTTTGAGTTTTGGGTTGGTAAACTTCAGGAATCTCCAGTTTGTTTATGATCATTATGTTGCTGTGTAGCATGTAACTTAACAATGTTATTTTGTAGGTGACTGAAGAGTACCAAGCAGTGAACGTCTTTGTAAAAACTGATATCTGGAGATCTGAGGTGTGAAATTGTGTTTCAGTCAAGTACTTCTTGTATAGGTTTTCTTATTAGTTATTGTGTAGGTTTGTGATCTGAGGTGTGAACAAGGTTCAAAGTATCGGTACGATACGCATATTGGCCGTATCGTATCGGTACTTAGAAACGGCCGGAACACCTTTTTTTTTTAGTTTTTTTTTTCAAATTTTGGTTTTTTGGGAAGCTTAAAATGTGTTTTTTATTATTAAAAAAAGTTGGGGGCAAGGTTCAAAGTATTGATACGATACACATTGGCCATATCATATCGGTACTTAGAAACGGCTGAAACACCTTTTTCTTTACTTTTTTTTTTCAAATTTTGTTTTTTTGGGAAGCTTAAAATGTGTTTTTTATTATTAAAAAAAGTCGGGGGTCCGAAACACCTGGAAACAAGTGTTTCGGACCGTAGATACGATACGATACGCCCCGTATCGGGCGTATCATATTGATACTTTAAACCATGGTTGGGGGTCTGAAACACCTGGCAACAGGCATTTCGGACCGTATCTTTTTCAAAAGATACAATATGATATGCCCCGTATCGGGCGTATCGTATTGATACTTTAAACCATGGGTGTGAAAGGTGTAAGAAGTGAATTATTCTTTCATTTAACTCTTTTCCTTGGGCATTCATTTTTTACTTGTGAAAATTTGTAACCTACTCAAGATAAGAAAACATCGGCAGGTCGACACCAATTGCATGCATAACTAGTCCTGTGTGTCTGGTTGGGGTCTCTGATGATAATTGCAATTGTTGAATGCTTACCAAAATGCATGGAGTGGCCTTGAAAGCTATTCTATTGCTATGTTGGTTTTCTGAAGTCAGCTTTTTGTTCTTTTAGATTGTTGCAGATGGTATTGATCCAAGGCTACAAACATTCTTCTTCTGGTAATTGCAGATCTGTGACTGAAGTTCCCACTGCAATTTTATAGTTCTCTCAAAAAAATGGGGAAAACTGAAAAGTGTGAACTCATTCTTATGTGCAGCTCAAAGCCAAGGAAGCGAAAGAGATCAAAGAGCCTTGCTCAAAATGCAAAGCATGTACACCCACAGGTTGTCAAATTGGACTTACCTGAAGTGATGGGGGAAGGCCTTTGTGGAGGACATGTAGAAAAGAATGCTGGTACAAGTTCTACTGTTCCTGTTAAGGTGAACCCAACAACTGCTGAGCCTTCAAATCAAATCTCCCATCAAAAGGCAAAGAATGGTTGGTAACCTGTAATACTAGAACAATACCACTCTTCAATTATTCCTATCTTATGAATCCATGCCATAAGCTCAAGTGCTTCATTGCATTTTGGTTCATCTTGTGGGGAAAACTATCATATCATACTTGACTCTGATTAGATCTATCTTGTAAAGATCCATTGGAATATAGATTGAAGGGTTATTGTTAACCTGATTGGATAAACTTTTTACTAGGAAACTTTTTGGTAGAAACTATACTGTGATTTAATTCTGGTTCTTATAACATGTACTCCATTATCAGCTTGGGTTGGGTGGAGGGATCTTACTGTTCTTTCACCATGATGTTAATTTCCTTCCTATTTTTGTATCATCCATAAAAAAGTACTGAAAAAGCAAAGTCATTATCCAGATGCTCATACGATTAAAGGAGGGGAAAAAACTCCGAAGATCCTCAGTGAGAATGGCTTTCAGAATGAAAGCCATAAAGCAGAGAGCAATGGCTTTGGAGATCCTTGTACTGCAGAGTATGCAGAACGTGTTGCATCCAGCCCTAATGTTACAGGTGTTTCTACTGCCACAGCTCAGTCTTCAGCAGGCCTGGAATGTCTTCAGCCCATATCTGGAAGCAACCTTGCACCCCCTGCCATGCTGCAGTTTGCAAAGATGCGGAAATTGTCTGCTGAAAGATCTGACCCTCGAAAGTAAGTTCATCACCATAACTATCATGACACTTTCCTGTGTACACATTGTTGATATTTATTGGTCTAGACTTACAGCAGTAGAGGACAAAGGATTTTAGGCAAGGGGATTGATATATGAAATGCATATGCAGTAATCGTTTTTTTTATGGTTAACATGTAATTTTATTGTATAACCAAAGATAAAATCCATATTTGGGATCGATTTTGTTGGGCACAGTTGTAAAGTGAAATTAATGGGGGGATGTGTTGGACTTTTCTTCTTAATGGTGTATGTAAATCATGTATTTTTCATGTTGTTTATAATAAATACAATTTACTGTTATTTATAAAAATGGATAAAATCCATATTCTTGAATCTGTGGCAACTCCTTACAGTTATCTCTTAGCACAGGCAATTTTTTGGCCTTCTTAACCCTTTATTTTATGTGCGAATGCTTATTCTCTCCATTTAGGGTTTGATGTAATTTTCCTTTGTTATAATGAAATTCCTTTTGATTTGCCTTCAAAAAAAGTGTGCATGCGCATCTGGTTTTATGAATAAACCTAACTGAGCTAGTGATGCTGGATCCAAATACTGATATGGGATTTTCTCAATATATATATGTTGTATTTCCTGGGCAGTAGGGGTATTTTAGTCATTTTGCAGGTTGTATGTTGGTCCGAATTTGTCATCTGATTTTTCAGTCATGCTTTAGTTGTGTTGTAAAATTTTAGAAGAATTGGTTAGGTATTTAGTAGCTTTTTTTATTTTTATGTTGTGCCAATTTACAGTTTAACAATTCTGAATTTTCCCTAGTTCTATAGTATTGGGTACCCTTATAGTGTCTTTTATATATGTTATTTTGGGTTTTATCGTTATCTTATTGTGTGGATGTGTTTGTCATGCTGCTAATTATACTTTTGAGTGGGGAGATACATGCTTTTGAATGTGTTATTAATAGTGGAAAGAAAAGATAGGAAGTTTTTTTTTGTATGCAACGAGGAAGGGAGGTATTCAATTTATAATTTTATTAATGGAAGATGTGCATTAATTGTCCATTTAACTGACACTACGTCGATGATTAATCTTGAATAAAGAAATGAGGGGGGGCATCTTTGAGATAAAAGTAGGACTATTGGTTGAGTATAGTATAATGATTAGACAAATATGATTCTATTATTTCCATTTTAAACTATTGGTGCTTTTCAAAGGTCAATTATGTCTACTGTTATCGTTATTTGGTTTAACTGATCCAATTCTATTTTTCAGTCGTACACTTCTGCAGAAGAGGCAGTTCTTTCACTCTCACAGAGCTCAGGTGATAGGCAACTCTTTTTCCTGTATAGTGATTTTTCCTGCTTTGCTCTTAACTTTTTTATCAAGAATTGGTTTTATTTGTGAATGTTGCCTCTGTCATCTGACGCATGATGCATCTTGAATTTTTGGTGCATTGTTTAAACACTGAACATGTATCATGGAAGGTTGTTGTATATGGCATCTGGTACTTACCTTTCTGAAAAATATAAATATTCACTGCTTGTCTCCTAAGTTAGCAGGATCAATGATTTTTTTTCTTTATGATTAATGATAGTTTTGTTTATATAATTAAAACAAAAGGGAAGATATGCAAGTAGAGGCATGCAGATCATGTCTTGTATGCAAAAGTTATCCCTCTGATCGTAAAAGATAGGTGTTTTACAAAAATGAAGGATATTATACACTACCAACGTTCTTTTATTTATTTCTGTTAATAGTTTAACTTTATTGAACGGTTGGGATGCTGGTCTTGACACAATGGCATCCCACTCTTCCCCTTGAAAAGCTTTTCATGGTACTCTGTTCCTTTTGTAAGGTATGATGCTTGTTCTAGTAACTAAGTGCTTCTTGGGAAGACATTTGGTTAGGGAGGGGTCTCTCAAAGATAGGTTTGCTTCTATCTATCATCTCCTTTCAAAAACAAAAACTATTTCTTAGACCATTGTGTTGGGGTGCTTCGGATCTAGGGTTGACTAGAGGGCTGCTTGAGTCTGAAGTAGGGCTCTCGATGAGTTTCTTAGTCCCTTGACTTTAGGGTTTTTGCATCCTTCCTTGCTTGACAATCGAGTGTGACCAGTGTATGTCTTTTTGCGTGTACCTTTTTCTTTAATGCTCTACCTCTCTCTTCAATTCAGACAATGTCCTCTTAGGGATATGCCTTTCTGTTGAGTAATAGTTCTCATTAAGATACACTTGTGATTTGTTGCAGAAAAGGAGGCTAAATTGGTGTCTTTCCCCTAATGTTTGTTGTATTTGTCTTGGCAGTAATGAGGTTGTGACCCATCTACTAATCTCTTGTTCATCTGCTTCTCACATTTGGGAATAGATGGTGGGTGCTGTTCACAGTTGATCAGTATTCTGTTGTAGTTTCAGCAGGAAAACCAAAAAGAAATAAAAGAAAAACAGAAAAAAGAAGAGAGGAAGAGAAGGGAAGAGAATAGAAAAAGAATGAGAAGAGAAAGGGCGCAGATCTTCATTAGTTTCTGCTGCCCAGATTAGGTATTTATATTTTTCTATTATAACAAGATCTACAAAGACATCTATACCCCTGCCGCCAAACACACTCCTTAATAAACAATAACAGCAATAATAGTAGGTTCAGTAAGGCCCAGAAAGACTAATAATAAGGCCCAAAAGAGTAATAACAGGTAAATAAAAAAAGACAACTAATATGGCAGGGACTTCACTAAATTACTAGTCTATCCACAGGAATGGTTTTCTTCTCTTTTTGGTTGCAAGTGGACACCTCCTTCTTGTGTTGCAGGTCTTTTTTATGCAAATTTCTTGAGACATCTAAAATAAGAGTTAATCTTTCATGAAAGGAACAATAGAATCTTTCATGAAGATGCAAAAACAAAAGAAGAGTTAATCGACAGCATTGGGTGCACACTGTTTTTTGGAACTGTTCAATTGGGTCCCTCCAGTAAGTCAACGATATATAAATTTTGATGGAAGCTCCTTTGGCAATCAAGGTCCTTTGTGCATAGGTGGTGTGATAAGAGATGGAAAAGGAAAGGTTGTGGCATTACATTCTGGGCCAATTGAAGTGGAGGAGGATTTGAAGCTGGTGATTGAGTGGCTACCAACAGGTAGTATGGGGATATGGATTCACAGGCAAAGCATGAGGGAGATCAAGAAAGATCCGTGTATTGGTTAGATGGTTTAGAAGATAAGCATTGGCTGGTTCTTTAGCCAAACAAGGGACAAATGGGAGAATTATTCTGGGATGAATTGTAATAGATAATTCTTTTGAACCTTGTGTTAAGATTATCCAAATTCAATGAAAGGTGTAGAATTTATTCCTGTATCCATCTGGCGTATGTAGGTTGTTTTGGCTGAATTCAGATGAACAGATAAAAGACCAAATTATTTGCAGTGTGTTTATATTTTCTGTGTGAATTGATTTTGTAAATATTTAAGAATTTGGTGCATGTTACTGCGTATTGCTTGCGTTTTGGGCAATAGGCATTTTTCTGATCAATAAAAGAAAGTAAGGAAATTTGATAACAATTGAAGTTTGCTTATTTAGAAGATTGCTTTTTTCTTATGCAAATTTATTTAAAAAATTGGATTCTTTTATTGTGGTTGAAGCCGATGGCATTGGAGCAAGTATTATCAGATCGGGATAGTGAGGATGAAGTTGATGATGATATTGCAGATTTTGAAGATCGAAGGGTATTATTGATTTTTCCTTTATTTCTTCTTTCTTTAATTTCTTTGTGGTAGTTATATCATTTAAATGATGTTATGAACCATAAAGGAAAGTCTCATATATGATATACCTGGCTCTCTTGAACCATGTAAATAAAGGGTTATAGAAAATCCTTTATGAGTTTCTTGCACAAATTGGTTAATGTCATCCTCCGAAACTCCTTTTAATCTGAGATCCAATAGAATCCTATCACTACTCCTCTCCATTTATCCTATCCAAGTATTCTATTTATCATCTAAATGTGATTCTTCATTTCCTTACAAATATTATAATAAATAGCAAAGGAACCATTCTCGAGTAAATAATATCCCTGGGGTCTTAGCCATCAATCATTTGGACATATTATTTGAAGATTTTGTTGTTTGGCTTGATGGTCATGCTCATATTAACAATCCTGGAAATTGTTGCTATTCAGTATCCACAAACTTCTTAATTGTGATTTGCACACTATCTTCAGGTCATGGCAAGCCAAAAGTTATCACCCTAATCTTCTCGTTTTTTACATTGCATTTTGCGGTTCTTCGAAAGAAGTACAATCTTTTTGGGATAATAAGAGGCATACAAGTAGTATCCTGTTAGATCTATTTTGCCTTGGTTTCTTTTTAAAGTGAAGAAAAAAACTCAGTTCTATTAGAATGAGAACCCTGGCTTCTTATATTCAAGTTTTCAGAGTGATTTTTAAAATTTCATGTTTATGAGGGACCTATTTATGATCTTCTCTAATTATTTGAAATTTCTAGTTATAAACTCATTCAAATAAGGGTTAGTTCATCTCTTTTATGGTTATTGTAGTTGTCAACGCATTACAATTTACAAAATTTGACCCCTATTCTTGTCATCTGTGCTGGCTTTTGTAGGGGACAGGCTATGATTCTGCCCATTTGTAATGATATATCTGATATGCCTATTTTTAAGGCCTACTATTAATGAATTTGACTAATTACTACCATGCAGATGCTTGATGATTTTGTGGATGTGACCAAGGATGAGAAACAGATCATGCATCTTTGGAATTCATTTGTAAGGAAACAAAGGTAACATTGAACCATAACTTTGTCTTCTTGCTATTTGTTTAATTATCATTGTTTGTTTGCTGGAACTTTGGGGGGGGGGGTAGTATTGGTGTCACCTGTAAAAAACATCCTCTGCTTGGCCAAGTTGTAGGTACTTGCTAAGCTGCAAACTGATATTTCTCAATGTTAGTTCTTTCCATTAAATCAAGTGAAAAAATTGACATTCTGAGGGTTGATTTCCAGTTTTAGGTACAATTTTTGTCATGGTTAAACTGAAACAAATTTAGGGATCACACTAGGAATTAAGAAAATTTCCTTTGGGTTGGTACTTGGAATTCCTGGTTTGGGTGGTATTCTTTGTCATTTATTTTGGCGTCTATTGAAAAGATACTCTATATATGTTATAACCTTTGTAAGCATCGAATGGCTGGCCTGCATGTTGGGATCTAGGGTGAGATTTTTTTGGAAAGCTATCCGCCATGCTATATTGTGGCGTATTTTGGAAGTGCTTAGTAGAACTATTTTTTATAACAAATCCTTCTCCTTGGAGTGTCGTAGGAGGAGAGTTTTGTCTTACTTATTTCTTGTGGATGGATTCTTGCAAGCACTTCAGGGATGTTACCAATGGCGATTTGGACAGAAATCTCTTGGAGGTTCACACTTGGGATTGGCTGGTATGGGAGATTTAATCCTTAGGATGGATGGTAGTGTACTAGTGTTGTTTGGGATTTCAGTGGGCCAGCGTGGATGACTGATGCCTTGGAAGCAGAAGTTGTGGTGAGAAGAAAAACAGCCTTTTGAGAAGAAAGGACTGTTTAGAAAGTTGCAAAAATTCAAAAGAAAGTAGCAGAAATCAAAGTTCAAGAGGAGAGAAGAAGATGAAGAAGGTGGCGGCAACTTGGGTTTAGAGAGAGAGATTTTCTTAACATAATCCCTTCTCTTACTCCCTTAATTCTATTTCATTAAGTTAAACTTTAGTAATTTACAGAGAAGCCCCTAGTTGGGCAGAAAATTAAAAAGACATAACATAAGAAAGAATAAAGCCCAAATTAAGGCCCATTACATCAAAGAACATAAAAGTTAAAAAGGATAAATAGCCTATGGGCCATTCGGCCCATCTTCTCTACACTCCCCCTCAAGCTGAGCATAGATGTCAATCATGCCAAGCTTGCTAGTATCATGCTGAAGTTTAGCCTTGGGAATTTCCCTTGGTGAGGAAATCAGCTAACTGTCCCGCAAAGGTGATGAAAGGTAGACACACTTCTCCAGAAGCCACTCTTTCTCGAATGAGGTGTCTGTCAACTTCAATATGCTTGGTTCTGTCATGTTGCACTAGGTTGTGAGCAATGTTGATGGCGGCCTAAATATCACAGTATAACATCATTGGCTTATCATGCTCAACGCCCAGTTCCTCCATCAAGGATCTAAGCCACAATAATTCAGAAACTCCATGAGCCATAGCTCTGTATTCTGCTTCGACTGAAGATCGAGTAATAACTGATTGTTTTGTTGCTTCTCCAAGATACAATATTACCTGCCACCAAGCTACAGTACCCAGAGGTAGATCTTCGGTCATCAATGTTTCTGGCCCAGTCAGTATCTGTGTAGGCTTCAAGTTTCATATGGCCATGCTTAGCAAATAGAATTCCCTTTCTAGGGGAGCCCTTCAAATAACATAGAATCCGCTCTATTGCTGCCATGTGAGTATCCTTGGGAGCATGCATGAACTAACTGATGGAACTGACAGCATATGCAATGTCTGGTTGAGTAATACAATCAAGAACATACTTTCTCTGAGAGATAAGGATCCCATCCTTGGATCTAGCAACTTCTATCAATAGGAGTAGTAACTGGTCTAGCACTCATTTTCCCTGTTTCAGAGAGCAAATCAAGAACATACCTTCTCTGAGAGATAAGGATCTCATCCTTGGATCTAGCAATTTTTATGCCAAGAAAGTATCTTGAATTCCTTCAGATCTTTGATCTCAAACTCTGTATGAAGGAAAGATTTGAGATCATTAATCCTTGAGACATCATTACCAGTCACAACAATATCATCAACATACACAATCAGGTAAACGACCAAGGATCCTCTCCTCTTCACAAAGAGGGTATGRTYAGAYTGTGTYTGTACATAGCCAAAGCTAACAAGGGCAGCCCTAAACCTTTCAAACCATGCTCTAGGGGACTGTTTGAGTCCATAAAGAGATATCTTCAGCCTGCAAACCTTTCCTTTCATATCTGTTTCATACATCCCTGGACGAAGAAACATATACACTCCATTCAGAAATGCATTCTTTACATCCAGTTGATAAAGTGGCTAGTATGAGTGTGCAGCCAAAGATAGTAGAACTCTCATAGAAGTCATCTTGGCAACATGGGCAAAGGTCTCCAGATAATCAATCCCATATGTATGTGTATAGCCATTTGCAACCAGCCTAGCCTTGTACCTTTCAATGGTGCCATCAACATGATATTTGATAGTAAAAACCCACTTACAACCTACTAGATCCTTCCCTTCAGGCAAATCAACCACTTCCCAAGTGTTATTCTTGTGTAGGGCATCATTTTCTGTTCTCATAGCATCCCTCCATTTTGAATAGTAAAAGCTTCTAACACAGACCTGGGAATTGGGTTAGAAGCAACAGAAGAAAGGTAGGCAAAATATGAAGGAGAGAGCAAACTATAAGAAAGGTGTTTGGAAATGCAATGTGYARTACAYTTCMTTTTTCCTTTCYTAATAGCAATGGGGATATCAAGGTCTGGGAAGGATGGCTCCAAAGGGGCTGTAACAGTACCTGTTGTCTCATCTATAACTGGAAGTGCCTGAGGCTCATGTGTTGGAGGGGAAACAATCTACTCATTTCTGGTTCTTTGCCGTTGGTACAACCTGGTATTAAAAAGAGGGCGAGGAGGTAAAGGAGGAATAGGAACATTGGAATGAGAGTGAAGTGACTGATCCTCCCTTGACTCATTTGAAGGAGGAAGAGACTCAGCAAAAGACTCAACTGGGACAGAAAGAGGAAGAGCAAACACCTGTGACAAATTCTCCCCCTTTGGACAATGCCTCTCCAGAGAATAACCATAAAAGGAAGAAATCTCATCAAATGTGATATCCATTGAGACATACACTTGTGGGCTTTTGTTCAAATTTATGTCTCTGGACACTTGCGATATGTACATAACAAGTGCAGCCAAAGACACGAAGAGGAATAGGAAAAAGATCCTTCTCCGGATGAAGAAGACTGAAGGGAGACTTTAAACCCAAAAACCCTGGATGGCATACGGTTTAGAATGTAGGTAGCAGTGAGAACAACATCACCCCAAAATTTTGTAGGGACATGTGAGGCGAATAGAATACTTCTTGCAACTTCAACAATATGTCTATTTTTTCTTTCAGCAACTCCATTATGTTTTGGGGTCCTAACACAGGAGCTTTGATGAATAACCCCTAAATCAGTGAGATAGAAGGTCGGGTTTTTCTCAAAATATTCTTTTGCATTGTCAGATCTGAAAATTTTAATTATGGTATCAAACTGGGTTAGGACAAATTCATGGAATTGCCTCACAATTCTGGGAACTTCATAAAAAATATCCAAGTGAATCGAGAAAAATCATCAATGAACAAGATAAAATATTTGTAGCCACCCATAGAAGCTAAGTAGTAAGGCCCCCACACATCAGAGTGCACAATATTAAAAGATCTTTTATTACTCAGAGGATAACTGTTTCTACAATGTTTTGACAGTTCACAAGACTCACAATGAAGACTAGACAAGCTAATTCCCTTAAACAGTTTTGGGAATAAATGACTTAATGCAGAAAAAGAAAGATCACCCAAACGAAAATGACGTAACATGACTCGACTGATGGATTCTGTAGATGTAGACCCAAAAGCAGATTTTCCAGGTTGTTCATGGCACTGTCCAAGAGTATCCCGCAGATATATTCCATTCGCCTCACGGCCACTCCCAATCACCTTCTAAGACTCCAGATCCTGAAAAACACAGTAGGAAGGGAAAAAGGTTACACAACAGTTTAATGACTTAGTTAGGCTACTTACAGATAACAAGTTTGTATTTAGTCTRGGTACATGAAGAGYAKAARGAAGAACCAAGGAGTCTGTAGCCTTGATGGTTCCCTTGTTGGAGATAGGGGCAAGAGTGCCATTGGCTAGGGTGATTTTGTCACGTCCAGGAAGTAAATCATATGAAACAAACAAAGTAGAAAGGTTGGTCATATGATCAAAAGCACCCGAATCAATAATCCAACACCCTCTAGGTGACTGATCATCCTCTCAAACTTCTCATATTCTGCCTTCATAGCTGTTAATTGCTCTCTAGCTGTCATCTCTTCAGTTTGGTATCTGTCATTATCTGGACCAACAGCAACATTGGCACTCCCTGCCTTTATATTATCGGACTTCTTTTGAAACCGAAGTGGTAGGAGCTCAGGATGCAATTTCTAGCACTTGTCTTTAGTGTGTTTTGGCCTTTTACAGTATTCACAAATAATCTCTTTTTTCCCTGAGCTACTTGGAGTCCTTGCAACCCCCTTGGGTTTCATTCCCATATTAGCAAAGTGATCATTTAGACCAGCCCATTAGACCTAGACAAGTCTTCTGCTTTCTTCACTACTTACCAAGGCATATGCTTGAGACAGTGAGACACTATCCTTGGATAAAATATTTTGCTTTGTAATGTCGTACTCTGGATTTAGCCCTGTCAAGAACTCAAACACCCTGTTTCTCTCAACCAGTTTTTTGTAGGTCTCAGCATCCTTAGTGGTGTCTCAGGCTACAACTTATATCAAATCTATTTCTTGCCATAAAGACTAAAGTGTTGATAAGTATACAGCTAATGGTTTCTCCCCCTGTCTCGAATTCTTCACATCACTTCTCAACTTGTAAACCCTGGCCACATTTAATTTTTGGGAATATGTTTCAGCAACACTATCCCAAATTTCCTTTGCTAAATTCATCCACAAATAGTGCTGACTAATTTGTGGTTGCATTGAGTTCA